TTTTTTTTTTTTTTTTTTTTTTTTTTTTTTTTTTTTTTTGAGATGGAGTTTTGCTCTTGTTACCCAGGCTGGAGTGCAATGGCCCGATCTTGGCTCACCGCAACCTCCGCCTCCTGGGTTCAGGCAATTCTCCTGCCTCAGCCTCCTGAGTAGCCGGGATTACAGGCACGCACCACCATGCCCAGCTAATGTTTTGTATTTTTAGTAGAGACGGGGTTTCACCATGTTGACCAGGATGGTCTCGATCTCTTGACCTCGTGATCCACCCACCTCGGCCTCCCAAAGTGCTGGGATTACAGGCTTGAGCCACCGCGCCCGGCCCAAGAATTTTTTATTTTTAGTTTTTTAATTAGAGATGGGGTCTCGCTATGCTCCTCAGGCTGGTCTCGAACTCCTGGACTAAGTGATTCCCCCTAGAGTACCTGACCAAGACAAGTTTTTGTGCTGTGGCTTACCTTAGCATATTTCTCTGCTTCTTCCCTTATATCTTTTGGAACAATTTCATGTCTTCCATTAGTTACTGTAAATTAAGCCACATACTTGAATCAATTTTAAATTGAGGACTGTATTGTGACTTGCAGTATACTAGAGGATCTACCCAGTAAACAGCTGACTCAACTACTGTTGCAGAGTTGTACTATGAGTTATACTCATTTTTGTGTGCTGCTTCCACATGAGATTGTATGTGCCCATATATTCTTACAGAAATGAATGTAAATTATGCTATGATTTATAAATCCTGAGCATTAATTTACAGCATAGTATCTTTTAAAACGATGAAATGGATGTTTCAAAAAATAATCCGTTCACAACTTGTCAGTTATTAAGCAGAACTTTCCCTTCCTTTGATGACCTAGTAAATTTGTTTTAGCTTTCATTATATTAGAAAAGACACTCCGTTGTAAATTTGCTATGATAAAGATAATTCCTAGAGCAAATAAATGTACAAAAATAACTTACATTCACCAACCCAGCTGAGTTCTAGTTCAAAAGCTTTATCCTTAACTTCATCATGTACTATGTAAATTCTAGAACAGAAAAGGGAAACGTAACATTTTGGTAACCTTCAAACACTGTAGTAAGTTCACAGACCTGTAGTATAAATTAGAATGTCCATCCCTAATGAAAGTATTTATAAAATTATGCAGACACATTTACATAGTATTTAACATAAGAGAAGACAAAATACACAGAGACTGAGATAAAATGAAACATTTGCTATCCCAACAAATATTGAATATACCTAAACGACTCAAGTTCAGTACTTTTGCACATTGCTTTAAAGATGTAACTTAGCTAGGTGTCGTGGCTCACACCTGTAATCCCATCCCTTTGGGAGGCCAAGGCGGGTGGATCCCTTGAGGTCAAGAGTCCAAGACTAGGCTGGCCAAGAGGGTAAAACTCTGTTTCTACTAAAAATGCAAAAATTGGCTGGGTGTGGTAGTGGGCACCTGTAATCCCATCTATTCGGGAAGCTAAGGCAAGAGAATTACTTGAACTCGGGAGGCGGAGGTTGCAATGAGCTAAGATCACGCCACTACTACCCTCCAGCCTGGGAAACAGAGCGAGACTCCGTCTCAAAAAAATAAAGATATAACCATAAAAAATACCTCATGGCCGGGCGCGGTGGCTCAAGCCTGTAATCCCAGCACTTTGGGAGGCCGAGGCGGGTGGATCACGAGGTCAAGAGATCAAGACTATCCTGGTCAATATGGTGAAACCCCGTCTCTACTAAAACTACAAAAAATTAGCTGGGCATGGTGGCGCGTGCGTGTAGTCCCAGCTACTCAGGAGGCTGAGGCAGGAGAATTGCCTAAACCCAGGAGGCGGAGGTTGCGGTGAGCCGAGATCGCGCCATTGCACTCCAGCCAGGAAAAAGAGAAAAACACTCCGTCTAAAAAAAAAAAAAAAAAAAGATACCTCATAAAGAAGATGGATTCAGTAGAAAAGTCATCATTGTGCCCTTTTAGGATATTTATTTTTTTGTCCATTAATTTAAATATTTTTAAAACCAATTTATGTCCTTGCAATTATTAGTGGTCTCTTCAACCTGTAGCTTCTTGGCAGTAGCTTCTTAAGCTCCTCGTCCATTTTTTAATGGCTTATATGCTACATAACCTGGCCTTAACATTGCAGTACATTACAAATTAGAGCAAAGAAGGAGGCACTGTCATGTAGCATATTAAAGTAACATAAAAAGTATCAAGAGGCTGGGCGTGGTGGCTCATGCCTGTAATCCCAGCACTCTGGGAGGCCGAGGCAGGTGGATCACGAGGTCAAGACCAGCCTGGCCAAGATTGTGAAACCCCATCTCTACTAAAAATACAACAAAATTAGACCAGCGTGGTGGCAGGCACCTGTAATCTCAGCTAACTCAGGAGGCTGAGGCAGAGAATTGCTTGCACCCGGGAGGTGGAGGTTGCAGTGAGCTGAGATCGCACCACTGCACTCCAGCCAGGGCGACAGACTAAAACTCCGTCTCGAAAAGAAAAGGTGTCAAGAAATTAAGTACAGTAGCAGAGTATAGCTTTATTTAATACTCTGCACTGAATTACATACCTTACTTTTTGGAGGGTCTTCTAAAACCTTGCTATAATATGAGAGGATCTCAATTTTCTAGAACTAAGTAAAAGATAACATGCCGCTCCATTTTCTTAAATGATGAAGGAATGGCTTTCCTAACTTGGAACTAAGAGATGACTACCATTGTATGTTAATATGAAAGAGAGTAAGAACTGATTTCCAGGAGCACTTCAAAGGTTCAGTGAAGGAAACAGAGTATATCATGATAAACTGTTACAAAATTCAAGGAAGATACCTGACTTCCTTCTTAGCAGCTCTAATGTATGTTGGTTCCTAATGTTGCTGTTATTAAACCATCATGGCTTCTGCTTGCTTCACAACTGAAACTGGGAGAAAGTAGGGGAGTTGGCAGGAGGTGTAAAGGCAGTAGCAGGAATGATGGACAAGTTTATGAGAGACTGTGAGTGCCATGTAAATAGTATGTTTATCATTATACAATAGAGCCCATTGGAATTTTTTCTTCCATGTACTGTTAGACATAAAAACCTGAGACACTACTGTACAGAGAGCTGACTGACAAGACCTTGTTTGTGTAGTTCTAACCTAGAATAGTTAGAAACGTTACGAATTCTCTGAATATAACTTTGGAATCTAAAAAGCTGGCCTACAAAATGTATTTTATTGGAATCTTTCTTGTAATACCAAATGTCTGCACTCCTTGATCTAGAAGAATCACAGATTTTGAAACATCACCCAGGTTAATTGACTTTTTAACTGCATACTGTTCAACCAGCTGTTACATATTAATAGTATTCTACTGTATGTACCTGTAATAAACTATTCAGGCTTTCTTAAGCTGGTTTTCAAAATGTCTTACAATACTGCTCTTACCTTGTTAAAAGAACTTTTATAATAAAACTAAAAAAGTTAAAGATATCTTTCCCAAATAAACAGCAGATTATATAAATGAGCCAGCTTCATGAATCATGTATGGAAATAATTAGTTGTAAACCTATAAAGTTTATAAGCATTCTTTGAGGCAATCTAACATTACTATTATTGGGAGATAAGATATTTGAGAAGTTGACAGCTAACAAATGAAGCCCCTAAAAGTACATTATACGTCCTTAACCTGTAACAGGAGTTTATTTTGTTAAAAGCTATTTTTCCCATCCTATTCATTACTAAACAATTTTGCTTCAAAACCTTTTCCTCCTTCGTGAGGCTTCTTAGAATGTTAAATTTACCTTCTAAAAATTATACACTATTGTTATTTTCCAGGAAAACAGCCTCTTAGGATTGATGCACAAAGGTCAAGTGAAATATTTTTGTGGATGGTAAGAAAAATTTCAACTTACATTTTTGCAACTTCTTTAACAATATCACGGCAGGTCATTTCTTTCATCTATAGAAAATATTATGTATATTAATTGTCAGAAGAACATTTTCCACTTGTGTAACTATTTTCACTTTTATGCTCAGATATAAAACCAAGGAAAATATAGTCCAAAAAAGACTAGAACCCAAGTTTCCTGATTCATATTTTAATGTTTTGAAGTTTATACGCTAGCCCAGGCATGGTGGTTCACGCCTGTAATCCCAGCATTTTGGGAGACCAAAGCGGGCAGATCACCTGAGGTCAGGAGTTCAAGACCAGGCTAGCCAACATGGTGAAACCTCCTCTCTACTGAAAATACAAAAATCAGCCAGGAGTGATGGCAGGCTCCTGTAATCCCAACTACTTGGAGGCTGAGGCAGGAGTCTCGCTTGAACCTGGGAGGCGGGGGATGCAGTGAGCTGAGATTGCACCATTGCACTCCAGCCTGGGCAACAAGAGTGAGACTTCGTCTCAAAAAAAAAAAAAAAAAAAAAAAAAAAAAAAAAAAAAAAATTAGCCAGGCATGGTGACAGGCACCAGAATTGCTTGAACCCAAGAGGTGGAGATTGCAGTGAGCCTGAGTGACACCACTGCACTCCAGCCTGGGCGACAGAGCGAGACTCCCATCTCAAAAAAAGAAAAATGCATATGCCAACAAGATATTCTGGGATAAACTGTAGTTACAACTTTGTGATAAAATTATAAAAATCCACAGCCATCTATGATCTATAGGCAGACCTGAAGTTTGAACGACTGGAAAAGACATCTGATATTCTTTATAGCCAATTTAGGATAATAAAATGCAAAACAATATCTACTATATGCAAGATACAGAAAGATGAAGGAAGGAGTAAGAAATTACCCTTTGTGAAACTATTCAAAGCAAAAATGCAAAATACCAGGGAAAGCTTTGAAGAACCAAGATTTGAGCAGGGTCTTATAAAACAGATTGGATTGGATTGGATTTCAAGAAAGACAAATGTGTAAAGCACAAGTGGGAAGCCAAAAGTTTTTCCCAAATTAGAATTCAGCGTTCTTTCAATGAACACTTGGAAATCAAGGTAGAAAAATACCCCTATGTGCCTAGTTGAGGAGTCTGTATAGTGTTAGGTTTTGGTAGTAACCAGTACAAGACTTTATTATTAGACATAATGGATTTCTGAATGGACAGGCATTCCTATATTCTGGATATGTTGGGGAATGATGGAATATAGTGAAAGGTGCTCATACAGCAGTCTAGACTTAAGCTATTCAACTGCTATATATATAAACTATATATATATTTTTAAATTTTGACTCTGGATGCTCAATATGCGTGCACAACCACATCAGGAAGAATGAACAATGACAAAAAATTACACTGAATTTAAATTTAAGAATACTGTCCAGCCACAGTGGCTCATGCCTGTAATCCCAGCACATTGGAAGGCCGAGTTAGGCGGATCATGAGGTCAGGAGTTTAAGACCAGCCTGACCAACATGGTGAAACCTCGCCTCTAGTAAAAATACAGAAAAATTAGCCAGGCGTGGTGGCGCATGCCTGTAATCCCAGATACACAGGAGGCTGAGGCAGGAGAAGTGCTTGAACCCGGAAGGGGAGGTTGCAGTAAGCCGAGATTGTGCATCACACCACTGCACTCCAGCCTGGGTGACAGAGCGAGACTCCATATCAATAAATAAATACATTTAAGAATACTAATTTTAGGAAATAAACCATTATTTGGGTACAACTAAGGCAACTGGCTGGCATAGACACTTAAAGAAATAGTGTCTTTCTTCTGTGGGGAAGAAAAAGACTAAGAGAAGGAAGAAAACATGAACCTCAACAGTTTGAAACAGTTAAAAAAGAGTGTTGAAATTGTTCAGGCAGCTTGATTATGAACTATTAACATGACACTTGGGTCCGATAATGGTATAAAGAGAATAACTCTAAAGTATTTAGGGATGCAGTATTATGCTTGCAGCTTTTTTCAAATAGTTCATTGGGGAGGAGGATGTATAAGTGGATAACTGAAGTCTTAACTAGATTGGTTTAAGTTTATGATGTTTACAGTTCTTCATGTTAAATTGAAGGTGATGAGAAGGGAAAGAATACTGATCTTCACATTTTTTCCCTTATTGGTTAAGTTCTGTATTTTGTGAATTAATTGAATCTTAACTTGAAAAAGCACATTTTAAATGGCAAATTATTTTTACATATGTTTGTGCGTTTCTATTTTTTGGTAAACACACCAAAAGAAAACAGGATAGAACAATGATACAAAGGTGGGGGGGGTCAGTAAATGGATTCTGTAAAGCACCAACTTGTAAATATTTTAGAGTTTATTAGCTGCATGGCTCTGGTTTCTGTTCCCTGTTCCAAATGTTACAGTCTACTATATTTTAAAAGCAGCCATGGACTGAACGTAGCTGTGTTCCAATAAAACTTAACAAAAGCAGGCAGTGGGCCATAATTTGCAACACCTGATTCACAGCATAATTTTGTCACAAACTTTAGGTGTTCCCCAAAGTGATTTTTTTTTCTTGATTTTTCTGCTGGGATTTATTGTTTTTCTCCTTCCTTACTAGGATTTAACTACAGAAAGACAAAAAGTAACTGCTCTAAATACTCTAATTTTCTTTACTTTTTTGAGATAAGGTGTCACTCTGTCACCCAGGCTGGAGTACAGTGGTGTGATCATAGCTCACTGTAGCCTCCAATTCCTGGGACTCAAACAGTCCCCCTGTCTCAGCCTCCCAAGTAGCTGGGACTACAAGCACGTATGACCTTCCCTGGCTAACGTTTCGCTAGTTTTAGGAGATTGGGTCTCACTCTTTCTCCCAGTCTGGTCTAGAACTCCTGGGTTCAAGCATTCCGCCCAACTTGCCCTACCAAAGTGGTAGGATTACAGGGGTAACCCCCTCACCTGGTATAAATACTTTAATTTTCAAACTTCCTTATAATAGTATGGAGAGATGAAATCAAAAGGAAAACAGTAGAAGACAGGAACCTAGCACTATGCCAGAAAGTTTGCAATGGAAAAGAACATAGGTCTAAGACTCATAAGGTCTGGGTACTATTCAGAATCAGCTGACTGTGATCCTATGCAGTGTGTTTAATCTGCAGTTGAGCTTGAGCTAAATGATCTCCAAGATCATTTTGTCAACTTTACTAAAATGCAAAACAAATTAAACTTTATTAGGGGGTTCTAAAACTTGGCATTGTATAAATGCCAAGCACCAACAACTATTTTCTAGAAGCTGGTCTTAAATAAGTTGAATGAGTAAATTACTTGAGCAAGTTTCTAGTACAGCATTAACATTAAATGAATGTGAAATTTTATCTCACTGTAATTTACAAAAACACTGATAAATTGTATGCCTGCTTTTTAAGCAAGTTTCTGATAATACTACTGAAACAGTATACATGAAGTCTAAGTTGATCAATGTATGGCTAAAAGGAAAACCAGGCTTTTAAGAAAACTTTTTCAAACTAATAGCTGAATTTCTTGTGAAAGAAAAAGTGGATAGGTGTAAGAAAAAAGTGGGTAGGTATGCAAATTTGAAAATTAGAATATTTATACCAGGTTAGGGGGATTACCCCTGTAATCCTACCACTTTGGTAAGGCAAGTTGGGAAGACTCCTTGAGCCCAGGAGTTCGAGACCAGACTGGGAGAAAGAGTGAGACCCTATCTCCTAAAACTAGCAAAACGTTAGCCAGGCGAGGTGGTGCGTGCTTATAGTCCCAGCTACTTGGTAGGCTGAGGCAGGAGGACTGTTTGAGCCCCAGGAGTTGGAAGCTTTATGCCTTATCTGGCTAGGAGCAAAGTTAAAAGAAGCAGTGGAGCACAGCCAGACATCAAAGCTGTGTTCCAAATAAATAAATAAATAATAAAGGAAAAAAATGAGTATCACTTCTTAATGCAGTTGATTCTATGACATTAACTCAAACTTTTAAACACCAAAATCTTCAAACTAGGGCTCACAGATATTCATGAATAAGTTTCATAAATTTTGTGAAATCATATAAAAATCTGTGTTTTTCTAGATTGGGGCTTTATAGCAGTTATTCAAAATCATAAAGGGATGTATAACAACTCTACAGATAATATGTTATCAGCTTTCCCATTAAGTGACTTAGCAGCTTTGTAAAGCTCCACTCTAAACATCAAACCACGCTATATCCTTAGACCAACCTTCTCCAGCCCACTGGCCACATGGGGCTCAACTCAAATTTGGAAACTGTCATAAAACATTATGAGATTTCTTTTTTAAGCTCATCAGTTATCATTAGTGTTGGTGTATTTTATGTGTGGCCCAGGGAAGCCAAATGATTGGTCACCCTTGCCTTAGACGGAAATGTCTGTGGTGATAAAATTTCACTGCATTAGGATGACCATGTAGCAAAAATTCAAGCATTAATTATTACCTGAAGCTTCTCTATTTCCGTCTTTGCAGCTTGCCTGGCTTTGCCAATGGCACAACCCCAATAACCCTATTTAGAAAACAAAGGAAAATATATATAATCACTGAATTAGTATACTATCATATATAACTAATAACTACTAATGTTTATTTATAACCTAGTGAAAAGATGTTAAATGACTTTTAAAAGCAAGAATGGAAAAATATAGTCAAACACATTCTGATGAATGCCAAAGGGCTCAAAAATACTAAAATACCAAACTTAATTCTAAAAGAATCTGTACTCCTAATAGAGGTATATCCAAAAATATGTAAATTATGTAATCATTTACCCTTCGAATTTGAGACATTTTGGGGAAGAGGAATCAAAAAGATTTTTAGCACTATGACAATGAAAAATGAAATTATATATTCCTGAGAGATAGTTTAAATAAAACTAATTCCTGGCTGGGTACAGTAGCTCACGCCTGTAATCCCAGCACTTTGGGAGGCCGAGGCAGGCAGATTACGAGGCCAAGAGATCGAGACCGTCCTGGCCAACACAGTGAAACCCCATCTCTACTAAAAATACAAAAAAATTTAGCTGGGCGTGGTGATGCGTGCCTGTAGTCCCAGCTACTTGGTAAGCCGAGGCAGGAGAATTGCTTGAAACTGGAAAACAAGTTTCGGTGAGCCAGGATCGAGCCACTGCACTCTGGTCTGGTGATAGAGCGAGACTACATCTCAAAAAAAAAATTTCCTATGAATTCGTAACTCTAAACCCCAATTTTTATTTTCGTAAAAAAATTTTTTTTTTTTTTTTTTGAGACGGAGTTTTGCTCTTGTTACCCAGACTGGAGTGCAATGGCACCATCTCTGCTCACTGCAACCTCCACTTTCTGGGTTCAAGCAATTCTCCTGCCTCAGCCTCCCGAGTAGCTGGGACTACAGGCGTGTACCACCATACCCAGCCAATTTTTCTATTTTTAGTAGAGACGGGGTTTCACCATGTTGGCTAGGATGGTCTTGATCTCTTGACCTCATGATCCACCCGCCTCGGCCTCCCAAAGTGCTCGGATTATAGGCGTGAGCCACCGCACCTGGCCTGTTAATTTTTTTTTAAAGATAAGGATGCACAGTTAGGCACGGTGGCTCACTCCTGTAATCCCAGCATTTTGGGAGGCTGAGGCAGGCAGATCACTAGGTCAGGAGTTCTAAACCAGCCCGGCCAACATGGTGAAACCCCATTTCTACTAAAAATACAAAAAATTAGCCAGGCATGGTGGCAGGTGCCTGTAATCCCAGCTACTCGGGAAGCTGAGGCAGGAGAGTTGCTTGAACCTGGGAGGCTGCAGTGAGCTGAGACAGTGCTACTGCACTCCAGCCTGGGCAATAAGGCGAGACTCCATCTCAAAAAAACAAAAACCAGAAAAGATAAGGATGTACACATATATACTTCTGTTAGAGGAAAATATATTTAAGAATCTTTATTTTCTTCAGTTAGTAAAAACCACAAAAATGTCAGGATAAGAATACAGTTAAGAAATGTAGGCCGGGCGCGGTGGCTCAAGCCTGTAATCCCAGCACTTTGGGAGCCCAAGGCGGGTGGATCACGAGGTCAAGAGATCAAGACCATCCTGGTCAACATGGTGAAACCCCGTCTCTACTAAAAATACAAAAAATTAGCTGGGCATGGTGGCGCATGCCTGTAGTCCCAGCTACTCAGGAGGCTGAGGCAGGAGAATTGCATTAACCCAGGAGGCGGAGGTTGCGGTGAGCCGAGATCGCCCCATTGCACTCCAGCCTGGGTAACGAGCGAAACTCCGTCTCAAAAAAAAAAAATGTAATAACAGGCTAGGTGTGGTGGCTTACACTTATAATCTCAGAACTTTGGGAAGCTGAGGAGCATGGTTCACTTGAGGCCAGGAGTTCCAGACCAGCCCGGGCAGCATGGTAAAACCCTATCTCTACCAAAAATATAAAAATGAGCCAGGTGTTATGGTGTAGGCCTGTAATGCCAGCCACTTGGGAGGTTGAGGCATGAGAATCGGGAAGCAGAGGTTCCACTGAGCCAAGATTGTACCAGTGCACTCCAGCCTGGTCAACAGAGCAAGACTGTCTCAAAAAAAAAAGAAAAAAAAATGAAGAAAGAAATGGTAATAATTTAGGGAAAGCTCCAATAAATCACACTTAAACTTTCTCTTTAAAAGGGAAGGCTGGGCACTGTCGCTCATGCCTGTAATTCCAGCACTTTGGGAGGCCAAGGCGGACAGATCACTTGAGGTCAGGAGTTTGAGACCAGCCTGGCCAACATGATGAAATCTCGGCTCTACTGAAAATACAAAAATTAGCCAGGTGTGGTGGTGCATGCTTCTAATCCAGCTAATCCAGAGGCTGAGGCAGAATTGCTTGAACTGGGGAGGTGGAGCTTTGGTACCACTGCAGTCTGGGCGACAGAGCGAGACATCTCAAAAAAAAAAAAAAATCATGCCGGGTGCAGTGGCTCACATCTGTAATCCTAGCACTTTGGGAGGCTAAGGTGGGCAGATCACCTGAGGTCAGGAGTTGGAGACCAGCTAGCCAACATGAAGAAACCCCATCTCTGCTAAATATACAAATCAGCCACGAATGGTGGTGCATGCCTGCAATCCCAGCTATTTGGGAGGCTGGGGCAGGAGAACTGCTTGAACCTAGGAGGTGAAGGAGGTTGCAGTGAGCTGAGATCGAGCCACTGCACTCCAGCCTGGAAGACAGAGTGAGACTCCATCTAAAAATAAATAAAATTAAAAAGTAAAAGGGATGACGTGGCTGGACACGAATGCTCATGCCCATAATCCCACCGCTTTGGGAGTCCAAGGCAGGAAGACCCAGGAGTTTTAGACCAGCCCTGGAAACGTGGTAAGACATTGTCTCTACAAATACCAAAAAAAAAAAAAAAAAAAAATACAAAAACTAGCCAGGCATGGTAGCGTTAGCTTGCAGTCCCAGCTACTTGGGAGGCTTAGCCAGGAGGATCCCTTGAGCCCAAGACTTAAGAGACTATAGTGCACTATGTGTCACTGCACTCCAGCCTGGGCAAGAGAAAAAAAAAAGACAAACACAGTCTTAAGACAGTATAGTAATAAAGGAAAATCACATATTCAAAATACTAAATGCACTACGTAGTTTCTATAACATTGAAAACAGATCTTTCCTCTGCCTCATACCAGTTATTAATGATAAACAAGAAAACATGGCAGGGCACAGTGGCTTGTAATCCTTACGCTTTGGAGATCTGAGTGGGTGGATCACTTGAGGCCAGGAGTTCAAGACCAGTCTGGCCAACATGGCTAAGGCCTGTCTCTAATAAAAATACAAAAAAAAAAAAAATTAGCCAGGTGGTGCATGCCTGTAATCCAAGCCACCCTCGAGGCTAAGGCATAAGAACTGTTTGAACCCGAGAGGCAGAGGTTACAGTAAGCTGTTATCACACCACTGTGCTCCAGCCTGGGCCACAGAATGAGACCCTGTCTCAAAAAATGGAGAAAAAAAAAAAAAAAACAAGAAAACATTCTGTTGGACAAGAGGTTAGTGGGGAAAAAAAAATTCCTTGAATGAGTTCTAAAGAAATTTCATGTGATCTTATAATGAGACATTTTTAAATGCTATAATGAAATACCATTAAACTAAAATAGAACTTCAAATGATTCAAAAGTACTCACGTATGAAACACCTGATGGGTCAATCATGTAGAGTTGCGCACCGTCATTCACACTGTAAGACCCTAACATGAAACTGCATAAAAGTATACAAACAGCTTAAACCATGGCAAGAACATAAAAGTATTTTTTCAAAAAATGATTAAAATGCAATTATATTTTGTTTTTGAGATAAATTACTAATATACATATAACTCATGGTAAGTACAGTGGTTTCAATTAAAACTAGTATATACTTGAGATTAGTCAAAATTTATGTGGCTTTGTTTGTTTAGTATTAATCTTTCTGATGAAGGTCTTCTGGAAAGTCTAGCAGTACAGGGAAAGGGGTAATAAGATAGGTGAAAATCAAAACTAATGAGAGGGCCTAATAAATAAAGGCATAAACACAAAAAGGCCAAGGGAACAAAATTCCTGATGGAGAGTATACTGAATCCATGTGAAATTCTTTCCACCTTTCATTCTGTTTCCCAGTATTCTGCCAGTCATTTCTCTGCAATAATCAGAATTGGTTCAATCCATTTTTCTATGCTCAACAAATTAAATTAGGCTATTAGTTAATTGTATGAAATACTGATTTTTCTGAAATTGTGACATACAGTGTCTGTGGATTCAACAAACCACAGATAGAAAACTTTCAAAAATCATTGCTTCTGTACTGAACTACTGTGATTTTGTCATTATTCCCTAAACAATACAGTATAACAATTATTTACAGCGTATTAGGTTTTGTAAGTAATCTAGAGATGACTTAACACAGACAGGAGGATATGCACAGGTTATATGCAAATACTTAACCATTTTATATCAGAGACTTCAGCAACCTTGGATTTTGGTATTCATGGGAGGTACTAAAATAAATCCTCCACAAATACCAAGGGATGACTCTATTTGCTTTAGAGTAGAAAAGAAACCAGCATCATCTTACACATCATTTCATATGCAGAATATTTTAACTATCCAATTCCCATCCCTACCGTCATTTCTTTCCATCTTCTATGCTGAGACTTATCCTTCAGGATAAATAGCTCACTGTCATTAATTTAAAGCCCTTCAACATTTCCTTTGCTGAAACAGCATGGAGCACAGATTTTCAACTGACTGGAACCCTTTCTACATCTTCAGTATCATCTCTCAAACTCATACTTGACACACTAAGCATACTTAACTATCTCTGGCTCACGTATTTTCATACCAGTCCCTGTGCTTGCAACTACCATTTCCAAGTCTCCTACATCTCATACTCTCTTTCTTGCCACCTGTCCAGAAAGAATCTGTTCCCTAATTGTTGTCCCTTTATATCACCTCTAAGATTTTTATTGTGACATCTCATACCTGTGTCTCCATATCTATGACTAACTCAGTGCCCAACAGATGTTTACTGAAAAAGTTCTCTCCACTATTCTTACTCCCTTGAAAGGAGCAGAGAAGTTAACTGATGAACTTAGAGCTCAGTTGAAAGGTATTCTACATAGTCTGAAAGCAAAGTGTTTCATAATATAATTTAAGTGAGAACCTTAAGAATAACAATGTCAGGCTGGACAGCATGGTTAAGACCCTGTCTCTACAAAAAAATTTTTTTTTAATTGGCCAGGCATGTGGCCCATGCCTGTGGTCCCAGCTACTTGAGAGGCTGAGGGAGGAGCTTCACTTGAGCCAGGATGTCAAGGCTGCAGTGAGCCATGATGGCACCACTGCACTCCAGCTTGGTGACAGAGCAAGACTGTCTCAAAAAGCAAAACAAAACATAAAAGGCTAACATTGCCGATAGAATAAAACTCAGGTTTTTGTTAATATATCTTAGTAATTAAGTATGACTCATGATAAACAACTCAAAGGTAGGACTACAGCTAAGCACTCAGACGTTAGTATATGTATTATTTTGACCAAACGTATGTGACTCTTTAAGTCATAAGCCAAACATGTTTTTTCATTTTACAAAAACCTAGTCACAGGTCTTCTCTGTGAAGCCAAATTTGAATATTTATACCTATTCCAGGTCTTTATGCAGCTGAATCCCCACTTTCCCCCAAAATAAAGTATCAGCATTTCACCTTACAGAAAGAGAAACTGTGCCTAATGGGAACTGTGAGATGTGATTTTGTATGGACTAATTACTAACTGCCAAAAATAATCTCCATTTAAAAACATATTACCTATGTGCTTAAAGTATATCAGGTGGAAATTAATGAGAAAACAACTATAACTGGCTACTTAATGTCAATGAGGCATATATTTAAAATTACCTAAGAATATCAGGGACTAATGCTAGAGAGTTTATTATAATCAGATTAAAGTCATTGTTATGAGTTGTTTTATAATCACTTCAGATCTATATAGTCTTTTTCACTATTCAAAACGCTTTGGAATTAGCTGGGCATGGTGGTGCGTGCCTGTAATCCCAGCTACTCAGGAGGCTGAGGCAGGAGAATTGCATTAACCCAGGAGGCGGAGGTTGCGGTGAGCTGAGATCGCGCCATTGC